AAGAAGTTTACGTTAAATTTCCTAAAGGCTTTAAAAGGCTCGGTTAAATAATAAGGCTATTATAAGCCTTATATAAGCTATAAAGGTTAGCCTTATTATAGTAATAGTCTCTTAGTAAGACCTTTAAGCTACTAGGTTTAATACCTTATTTAGAAGACTCTTATATCTTTAATAGCCTAATATTAATAGTCTTTTTTTACGTTAATAATATCGTTTTTTTATATTATTAGGTAGCTTTTAAAGCTATTAATTAAATGATTTAAAAGCTTAAATTAACCTATAATATAAAGAACCTTAGTAAGCTATAATAGTTTCTAGGTATTTAAGTTCTTTAAAATAGGGCTACTTATAAGCTTTAACTATATTAGGATTTTTATATTAAAAAACTAGCTATAAAATTTAATATCCCTAAAAGAGATAGCTTTAAAGAAAGTCTAATACCTAGAAATTAATTAGAACCTAATTTAAGTATTATAACTATTAATTAAATTTATTAATATTAGTAGATAATCGGCTCTATTAATTATATTATAGTTATTAGAAGACCTAATATAGCTAAACTAATAGCTAAGCTAGCTAAATTCCTCCCTAATCCGTTAAAAACCCACTAATAGATTACTAATTAAGTTATTAAGTATTTATATTTAACGTGATACCTAGTAATTAAATTCAATGAAAATCCTAATAACCTAAAGCTTTAAATAGCTTTTAATATCGCCTTTATAAACGATTAACAGACCTAAAAGTTATTATAAGGCTTAATAATTCGACTATTTAATAGACCTATTAGTTAAATAGCTAATAAGTAAGATATAATTATAATATCGTCTATTAAAGCCGAATTATTAGCTTTTATACATATAGCTAAAGAGACTATCGCGATATTTAGGCTTTTCTAATAGCTAGACCTTTAGCTAGATTATTTAAAGCCTACGATATAATATAATAATTTATAGACGATTTAGCTTATTAATAGTAATCTTTTAAGGCTTAAAACCGCTCTTTATTATATTAATATTTATAATAGCTAGATTTAATAAGCCTATTAATAAGAGACCTTTAATATTAAATTTATTTAAAGCGCTAATAATTTAACTAATAAATTAATAAAGATTCTAATAGGCTAATAATTTAACCGCTTTATTAAGTAATTAAAGCTTATTAATATTATTAGTATTATTAAAAGAGCTTAAATTAACTAATCTAGCTTACCTTAATAGCTATTAATAGCTTTAATAGCTAACTATTAACCTAATTTATAAGAGTATATTAACGCTAAAGGCCTCTTTTAATAGAAAATAGCTGCTATTTATTAGGGACCCTAATAAGCCTTAAAACGCCTTAAATAGCTGCTTTTTAATTATATGAAAAGCCTTAAAAGAAGGCTCGCGCTACCACCCTATTAAAGCTAAACCTTTAATAGCTGAATACCGTAGAACCCCTTAAATTAATTACTTTTTAGGTGACCTGTTAGATAACTTTAATATCTATAAATAAGGGCCTGTTTTCCGTACCTAGATAGCTTTAATCAAGGATGATTAGAAGTCGCCGGCGGCGACGTTTTATACGCAGGGGTACTAATTGGCGATTTCTAAGGAGGCACACTCTCTCCGAGTTGTGCTGCTCGAGGCTATAATTTTAACGTGGAGACTTGATGAAGACGCGGTTTCTATGCCGAAGGCACTCTTGAATTCTTTCGACCGAAATATAGCAAACGCGACGAAAACCAGAATTCGTTGCATGTTATAACCAGACAACCCGGGCTCAAGTTACTCATCGAAGGTGAGAGCGTTGCGGAGCAATCCTAACACTCTGAACCCGCCATCTGATGTGCGATGGAAGGTGGATATGACCGCGTTACAGTCCGCGTCGGAGCAAAAGTACGTCTAGACAGGGTGATACTATGATCAGGCTGACTCTATATAAAGTGGTGTCCATCGTAGGTCTCATGTACGCTGCTTAGCCAGAAAGAAAGACAACTGAAATGCCAACAAAACAGGACATCCTCAGACGACTTACTTGACCAGCATTCATTAGAGTGCTTCGTCTTCAAAGAGCCGCCCAGGATAGGTGGCATATAAACATTACATATCAAAAGGCAATAACTTCTTCCAATCTACTTCATATTTATCTTTCCTTCACGTTTTTGTCCTCAGTCGCTCGTACGTAACGCAATGCTAGCCTTTGACGCCGCGACCGACCTACATCGCCAGGCTATGACGTGGGCAGAGGGAATTTTAAGGCTCAAAATACCAGACGAAGAGCTCAAGGAACTTGAAAAACGAAAGGCTGCTGCTGTTATTGCCGCACAGACACGTCTTCGGGACGGATCCCTACAAGAGACACACCTGCAAACTCTGGTGGAGTTGGTGTCGGACATAACCCGCAGTCAATGGCAACTCCTTGGCCAGTATCAACATGACGTATTTGTGCAATGCAGGCATATACCTTCAGCAAAGAACGTGCAGCCGACGGAAACCTTCCAGGAGCCGCAAAATACGGCGAAACACGGCTCTAGGAGAACCACAGCCAGGAAGAAACGCAAAGCAACTGGTGTTTCAGGACAAAACGATGCCCAAAAACTGGCGCGTACCCATTTCTCATATCCAACCAAGGACCATATTATACTTCCTTCTCGAGAGAGTGGAGACAGAGGCTCTTCGACTAGGGTTGGATCTCTAGAAACTCTCGATGACGCGCCAATACCTCGGCCGGGGAACCTATACTTGGTTCGGTGTCGCGGGTCAGAATATATCCCGGCCGTCGTTCTGTTTCCTGGATCCGCGAAGGGGCTACTCTCGGTTGAAAATACCGACCTCTTGAGTTTCGAAAAATGCTGTAGCTACGATCAGCAAAAGAACGTTCTGTCCTGTCGAGATACTCCGGGAATATGTGTCCCTGTAAAGCTTTTTGATCGCGAATATCCGGAAAGAGGAGATGCTGAATGGGTGGCGGCGGTACAGTTCAAGCCACTACATTCTACTACCACTTTACCAACGCCGTACGACAAAAGGGTATCAGAGCATCTGCAAAAATATGCGCATTATGTAAACGGCGCTGGTGAGGAAACCTACTTGGCTCGACAGACCTCGGTTGGCGGAAGTGGGGGACAAACCAAAGTCCCATGTCACAAACTGGAGGATAAAATTCCTTGCAGTGAAACTGCACCGAGCAAAGTGACTAATGATTGGGATGACGACCCTATGGCCATAGCACGATTAATTTGAAAACTGACACCCGTCATGTAGAGGTAGCTACGGTCGATTATTTTCGTTTCAGCCTGTCCAACGTTTTTCACATTTTAAGGAGACTTCTGACTGAGACAGGTTCACGAAGACATGGGCAATGTGCAGGAACTGTGACTTGGAGCATCGGATAGACATCCACTATCAGACCGGTCAAGCTCGAAGAGTACACCTGGCAGTTCTCAAGTTCAGCTCGTAATTAGGTGAAGCAAAGGATGCATAATAGAGCATAAAACGCATTACACCATGACTGAATATTCATCTCAATAAGTACTGGTACGTTGTCAAGTCCAGAGTGCAATGTCTCCGCCCCCAGCGGTTAAATACCACACTTGTGTCATCTCGTCCCATTTGAACTTATGGCGTCGAAGATCCGCGTCAAGTTATCGCAACTGATCCTTTTCCCGTCGCCAGTACACCGCAGCCGGTTCGTTCCAAGTCCATGGCAATCCCAGAACGGCTGGACAAACGATTTTGAGCTCCAATGACTGGCGTACGCACGGCCTCCTCGCAATCAGGTGTCGGACCGCCGCCTCCTTGTTCGTCAAGTCTACGCTGCTCGGCTCTACGGTATCCAGAAGAGCGCAAGCGTCGTCTAGGTCTGATTTCTCCTTCCTTGTTCCCTGCCGCTTAAAAGCCGTCACTATCTTCTCGCGGAGAAGCCAGCGAGCATTAAAGACAGGAACCTGGACGCCTGATATGGAGATCATAGTTACATCGTTGTCTGGACTGTCAAGGTTGTATTGAGGTCTTTGGGGCCAGGCATTGACGTCGAATATCTCAATCTTAATGTGTTTAACAGATCCATCAGATCTATGAAACGCAAGTGCTGAGACGAAGACACCATAATGTTTCTTCGCAACAAAAGCAGTGGGATAGTTTTGTAAAAGCCAGGTTGAGATGCTCTGCTGAATCGCGCTTGTGACGGAGACATGTATTCCGCCAGATCTGCGACAGCCTGAGCGAGCTCCTCGGGGGAAAGAGGCAGAGAGGCGTTTGGCCGAGGCATGATCTAATCGTTTCCAATTGCGTCAAGATTGGACGTTGGAAGTTTCCAGGATGGTCGTTTAGTTTAAACAAGATTAATGGAATGCTTCATGCTAGATGTTATTTAAACAGGCATTTACGGAAGTAACTGGCCACTATTTATATACAAGGGCTTTCATAAAACTGTCTTGATCGGGCGGATGCCATTCATTTGCGGCCGGAGATATGGCGCTGTAGAGCATTTGGAAGCAACCTACGGTGTCCATCGATGGATAGATATCTCGATGGTGCATCCTGAGGCGAATCACAACAATCGTCCACGCGTTCGCCTGGGATTTGGCTCTGCGGTGCCATATTTTGATTGCGTGTACCACCAGCTGTATCCCTTGATGGAGCGTCGGGAAGGGTATTGTGAAGGAAGGATGCCAATATGGCCAAGTGCTGCGGTACAGTATCCTGGTGTAGCAGGGCGGTCTCTTTCGACATCACCAGCCGTCTTTGAAACAGAATCCGCCACGGCATCTCAACTAACTGGAGGATGGTAGTCCCCAACAATTCCTGGCCAACCATGTTCAAATTATTTGGGCCTCATGGAATGCATCGCTTCCGCTCTAGGCTCCATCCCGGCCCTGGTCTGAGGTGAAAGAGCTATTGCCGCTCCCGGAGTGCGACTTGTTTGCGACGTAAGCGCTGCATTGTCAACGCCGTATACCCATGCTGATTTAGTACAGAACTACATGCTTGTCGTCCAAGACGAGCAGTTCGATGATGCCGTACAGCAATTGCGATTGGCAAGCTTTCGGAACTGGACCTGGTCGTATGGATCACTTGACCCGACATTCTACCAAGGAAGGTTGAGAGAAACAATCTGCCATCGCATCATCAACGATTATAGCAATCTGGATCGGAATTCAGCATGTTTCCTCTTCCCTCCACAACAGAAGAGCACAGCTAAAATCGTGCTATTACCATCATCTTACAGCCACATTCGTCTCAAGTCGACGTCAGGTAATTCACTCATTCGCGATGGTAATATATTCTACCCGGATGGCACCCTTCTTCTTCAAAGTTTCGTTCGAACATTAGTGCGGGAGCCGGTGGCAGGCATGTGGACATTGAGTCTAGCAATGTGGAGTATTTCATATGTATATGGGGAGCTTATGCTTGATGACGATGTCTTGGACTCGTGTGACGATGAGGAGGCGCAGCGCTGGTTCAATGAGAATATCCAGAGGTTTAGTGATGGCATCGACCGGGTCACAATCACCAAGCGACTAGGCAGAGCAGGTTGTGATGGAAGTTTGGCTAGAAGCCGGCCACCTTGACTATGTAAGGCGGGCTGCCGGCAAGGAATTCCACCACACGACGCATATATAGAGTCAAATTTTGGTCCAAGAAACGCTAAAATAAATCGCAGCTGCCGGGCGACCATTCAATTTTTGTGTATGTGACATGACGATGCTTGACAAAGTGGTGCTCAGCTTGGTGGACCATGAGTACGAAACTCTGGCCCAGAGCCATTAAATGAAGTTGTTGCAGGATAAGACATGGCTATATTGTCCGGCCCGAAAGTCCTCAAACCAAATGGACAGGACTTCACTATATGCTCACTCGCGTAAGATCTGGATCATTCGCTTCTAGGCGCTGTTTGGGAAGTCTCGGAATATCATTTTGAGAGTATGCTTTCATGCCAGACAATGGTAGAGCCCGCTATTTGGTTCAAGCAAGACCATCAAACGGTGAGATTATCTTGCCCTTGGCCCTGAATCGGGGCAAACCCGTTTTGACAAGCTCATTTCCCCAGACTGAGAGGCTCATATTGTTCATTGGCGTTGGACCAGGTACCTTGTGTCTACAAAAGCTGATCCGTTCGTCCACAGACTTATAAATCCGAGGGATCCTCTGTCGCGCCCCGGCCAAAACACCTCTCCCATTCACCCTAAGAATTCACAACTCAGCCCACAGTAGTCTTTTTTCGTGAACAGAAACACTCAAACCATTTGACTCGGCATTCGAGCAGTGAAGCAGTTGTTACCATGGTGTTTACCGGCAGGTCCTCGACGGGTTGTGAGACTTGCAGAAAACGCCGAATCAAGGTACGTTATAAAAGCAGGCGGATTATCTAGCGGTGTTGACCAACTCCAAACTTGTTTAGTGTGATGAAGCATTGCCATCCTGCAAACAGTGCATCAAAGCTGGCAGATCCTGCCCCGGATCCAAAAACCGCCAGGATGTCGCATTTCGCTTCATGTCTTTCGACGCGAATGGGAAAAAGAAGAAGACGAAAACTGCCATACCCCCAACCGTCCCAGAAAATCTTATAGTGACACCTATGGTCTCATTACCGGATGAAGGAGCTGCCTCACAGCCCTTCTCATGGAAATAAAGGACATCATTGGGAGCACGACAAAAGACCAGAAGTGTGTATTAGGGATTGAGGAGATTGAGAAGAGGCACATTTATGAAAAGTACTACAACAGGGTAATACGTCCACCGCATGGTATGTCCATAGTCAATTAAAGTCAGAGAAAAATAAAGCCATTCAAAAGCATACCGTTGTGTCATTGGACAACCTACTCTTTCTTTGCAAGCAGCTGATTTAGGCCAACGCGCGTACGACTCTTGGACGAACTGCGTCCCCAGGAGCTATCTGGTGAGTTGAGTTGCCTGGTGCGCTTCGATCGGGCCACCGGCTCATTGCTCAAGGCGGAAGTAACACTCGATGTAAAGCTTAAAGATGGATCGTCGTAACCTAGTACAGTCGATACTTGACTTGGCTCCTGTGAATCATCGTCTCCATGCAAATCAAGTAGTAAGTCATATGCCTCAGCATCGCGTTTGAAACTATTTCCGCACGTCTCGGCTATCCCTTCCTGAAGCGCATCATGTGCATCCTGCCATGACGCTGATTCTCGATCTTAATTGTCACTTCGATCCTTAACTTCGGCAGCTTCTCCGTTTGCAACCTGGATGGCCCGGTCGCGATGTTCTTTGGCCAACAGCCTTGCATTTCTAAAAAACGTGGCCCCTTCGACAAAAGTCGCGCGATTGTTTGTCAAATCAAAGCCACATAGTTTGGTCATGTGGTACTCTGCCCGTCCTCCAGTATTAGCAGGAGCTGTAATATGATGTGCGTACAGTTGAAGGGTGCCAGTAGCAGGATGATAGATTGAGCTATAGGTATAAGCATTTCTATCATATTCCGCTTGGGATTTCCCATAATTCTGCAACGTGTGCATGGCACGGGCACCGTACGCTCCGTCGTAGCATGCCTGCCTCTGTGCAACTGATGCATTTCCGTCAGGTCCCTTGGCCTCTATGAAGAAGTTGGCCGCCACTGGAACACCGGGGTGCTTTGTAGGGATAACTCTTTGCCTAACTTCCTCGTCATTTCGTACCTCCATATAAAGGTCCGCAAGATCAGCGCCGTCAAAATGATCTGGCTTTGGTCTCACGGCGTTGCCATTAATGGGAGGTTTAAGCTCGGTGAAGAGGACATTCTGTTTGCTGGGAATGGGATAATCTCCACAGATAAAGGGAATGACATCAGCCATGACATCAGATTTAAACACAGCATCTTCATTCTTCCTTTGAAATGCCTTAAACTGTTGCTCTGAGAATTGTGACGGCGACAAGGACGCGCGGCTCTGTTCCAATCTCATCTTTGTTTCCTCTGTGTTCAACGGTTTCGATTTACGGTTGTTCACATATACACCGTGGTCACGAAGGTGTTGATCAAACTCCTTCCCGTACCGCGTTGAGCCGCTTCTAGAAGTAACACTTGTCGCTCTCGTTGATAGCGTCCGTCGACTTCGGGAGCTGGAACTAGTATTTTCCATTATCGAAGGGTTTCGTGTCTTGCTCGAAAACTTATGTATGTAAATTAGTTGGTCGTAGAAACAGAGCCGGTCGAGCTGTCATACCTCTCTAAGGTGCTGCAGATCTGGGCCACCGCGTCTTGAGAATCGAGAAAGATCCTTGGGCAGTGAACCGATGGGGTTGGTTCGTTTTTCCGTCTTTGCGCGCGCGTCGTTCCTCTGATCTAATTCTCGCAGGATGTTGAGTGTTAAGGGTATCTCGGATAAGTCGTCGTAAAAAGCTGGGGGAAATTTGGGAGCGACGGCACGGGTACTTCTTGCCTTCCGCTTTTCTGCACGGTGATGGTTTTGCGAGATGTCTTGTTTAATCTGTCGTTTTCGAACTTGTTCACTCGCCATCGGTGACGGCGATGTGAAAGAGCGACTGACGACTGGAGAGGCATGGCCACGGCAAAGGTCGTGGTCAGTGGCCGCCTTAACAGGCGCCAGAGGAGTCATACGCACGGAGCACGATTCCGTGAGAACGCATCCTGTCCCATGCGGAGAAGTGGTTTCACAAAAGGCAAGCAGTCAGCCAACCATTAGCCGCCTGGCAGGAACGCACAAGATGTCGTGCATGCAGGAGCGTGAATGCAAGCTGCTTCTTTGAAGCGCGGAGTTAACGGAATGGATAATGTGACACAATAAGACTCACCTTAGCCCCACTAATGTGAATTGCTCGGGGTGCGTTTAAATTTTACTCGGGGTGCGTTTTGCCCCACCACTAACTAAATTTAGCTAGCTAACTTGCTACTATACCTTATAGTATATTTTTAATATAAATGTATAGTTATAATAGCTTTTAATTAAATGTTAAAGTAGTTAATTAAATATATAAATTTCTTAATAAACGTTATATTAAGTAAGCTTTAAATTACTTAAAAACGTGATTTTTAATGTTTTATTTAAAGTATATACTTTTAAGTTGAATTTTTTTAATTTTTTTAATTATTTAAGCGCTTTAGATACTTATTTAACTATATTTATTAGTTATAATAATAATATTAAAGAAATAAACTTCTTAATTTTAATTTTTAAGAAGTTTTATCTTCTAATTATTTCTCTTCACCTATTATTTATATTTTATTGTTAACCGGAATCTAGATAATAAGGTCAGCTATCAACTAGCTGGGCTATATAGCAGGCTTCTAATAAGCCTAGCACTAAAAACCCTTAAATTTTAAGGGGTTATAGGATCTAACTTTCTAGGTTATAAGCTCTAATATCTCGTATTATAATTTATAGCTAGTATTATAGGTAATATTATAGCTCGTATTATAGGGAATCATAGAGTATTATCTTTTATATTATAAGAAGTTATAAGGTATTATACAACTAAAATACAATTAAAATAACCTTATAAAACTAATTAAATAAAGCTAAATATACGAAAAACTAGATATCTAGTATTTCTAATATTCTAGTTATATATAGAGGTAAAGTTCTCGTTTAAATCGTTTTAAAGATTAAGCTTAAATACACTCTTTTATTCGCCTTTTATTATATACCCTACCTAGCTCTTTATATCTTAAAATAAAAAGTAAGTAAAGTGGGGCGAATTTTTAATTGCTTATAACTTTTTAACATAATAACTTATAATAATAAAAGTAGAGCATTTTAATAAGCTAATTTAGCTCTTTTTAACTATATAAAAATATCTCTTATAAGCCTTATAATTAGCCTTATAATTCTAAGTTAAAAAATAAGAGTCTTTTTTACTTAAAATATATTTATAGGTATTTTCGTAATATAATGTAAT